TTGACATCAAATTTTCGTCAAATCGATATTTCCCGTTCTGGACGGAGATAATTTGCATACGATCTACGATCCTTACGTGCACCGTATCTCTACACGTAGTTTAGATTTCCGATACCTCTCGTTCTGACATTTATTAATACTGTATGTTTCTAATTTTTAGGAAAAATTGAAAAATGAAGCTGGAAACTTGTGTGTACTCGGGATATAAGATTTATCCAGGGCATGGGAAAAGGATGGTTCGTGCTGATGGAAAGGTTAGTAGTGTGTCTGAATCCAGTAATTGATTGTTGGGGAATATTCGAGCAATTTATATTTTCAGCGATTGATTACGTTTATTTTTTCCATTATTCAAATGTCATTTTTAATTATTGGAATTCTTTAGTTTTTTCTAACACAGGTTCAAATATTTCTGAACAAAAAGTGTCAACGATCATACAGATTAAAACGAAATCCTCGTGATATACCCTGGACTGTACTGTACCGCCGCAAGCACAAAAAGGTTCTTTTTTTCTTCTATGATTAGAACAATGTAGAAGTAGTGATACGGGCTGATCTGTATTTGCGGAATCAAACTTTACTTGCTTTTTCTGATTAAATTTTATTCCAACAATTAGAATGTATGATTGAAAACTGAACATATTCCAAAAGAATCATGCCAAACCTGTAATCGGCTATTCTACTGATCTCAGTTTTGGTTTTTGTAATGCCTAGTTTTCTTAGGGGAATGGCTACATAATGACACTTTCGTCCGTGCTGTTCCCTTAAACGGTTGTTACTGTGGATTGGAACAACTGGCCGTAGTATTGAGATAATGATTTTGGCTGGATTTTATTAAGGATACTGCTTAAGGGTGTTCATGGTGAAGAAAATGCACAAAAGAAGCGTACGCGACGCGTTATACAAATAGCATCTCGAGCAGTTGGTAACGTTTCACTGGAAGCTATACTTGCAAAACGCAATCAGAAACCGGAATTTCGACGTGCCCAACGTGAGCAGGCAATAAAGGCTGCGAAAGAAGCTGCGCGAGCATCGAAGAGCGAGAAGAAAGCAGCGAATAAGGCATTAAAAGTAGGATTTACAAATGTGTACATGTTCTTGAGTACTTTTTTGTAAAGTTTTAGTTGGTAGTGGCGGAAATATCATCATTTTTTGGATTGTATGCTCGAAGTATAGGTCAAATTCATATTTCTTCTCAAATTAAATC